ATGCAGATGACTAATGTTACGGGTACGCTCAGACATGGGAAATTGATGAGGTTCTTACAGGTAAACCATTATCACATTGAATATTTAATTGAGGAGTTGACATGCAAATTCGAATGCATTGACAATAGATCAACAATCATCAATCAGGGAGGGATTAATATGAAAGGATGGTTGAAAAAATGAATATTAAAAGTGACTATGAAAATGATGAAAACTATTAAGTGTACACCTGAAGAGTTTTACTAGAGAGACGCCATTAGTTTCGAGCCCTTCTCTGTTTTGCTAAATATTTTAGTGAGAAGCCTCTTTGAGGTGTATCTAGGGGTGTTCAAGGGAGTCCCTCTTCCTACTTTACATAATTCATCGGGGGAAACGGTTAGTAAAATAGAATTAAATGCGATTTTGATGGATGAACATTAAATTAATAGCTAATCGATTATTTTCTCATGTTTTAATTAAATTATTTATTGGTCATTCTGTATGTGATTTGGTCATTAGACGTGTTCCTCGTGGGCCATTATTTGGTCATTTGATCGTGGGAAGTGTTGCACATTTCATCCTTTTCAGGTGGAAGCCTCAATGTATCCTTCACGGGGGTTTTTTGCCCTCAATTATCGCCCCTCGAATCTTGCTTTTGATTTTATTTCTCAATTTCCAGGCCATTTTGTGGACGCTTCCATGTGTGTTTTGTATCTTTGAGCTGTGTGAATTTTGTGGAAAAAAGCACACTTTGGACAAACCATTCATGTATTCATGAGGGATGAACACAAAAGGGATAAGTAGTTATATATTGATATCAATCAGACGGTGTAATTGAAGATAATTATGTTGATTGGTGTGCAATTAATTTTAATGAGATTATTTTCAGATCAGACCACTCACAAAAAAGCCTCTGATGATTGACATTTTTATTCATAATACAATTTTCACAACACACTAAGCAGACAAGTGAATGTGGGGCTTCTCGAGACGCATAATTTTGTGGTGAGTAGGATTCGTTTCGAGTTCGAAGCATTGACTAACGTGCAAGATTATGTACATAATATGCAAGTGTGTGGAGGAAACTGCCGATGTGACTCATTGCAGCAAAGGAGAGAAAGAAGTAAATGTAGGAGAGGTCCAAATTTCCTTTCTTTTTTGTTCTCTCAAGTTAAAGGGAGGGACAGTCAATGGGCCCGAGGACACCTGCAGCACCTGAGAGGAGGTAACACACGAAGAAGACCTCATAAAGAAATGAGATTTTTCACAAATCTCGTCCAAGTGAATCCTGTTTAGATTTCTTCTCTTTTGTGCCCAAGTTTGTGCCGTGGATCTTCGACATGGGACGTCTTCGATGACTAAGACAGCAATTTTATGTTTCCAGTTTTGTTTGCGCACAAAACTGACGAGATCCCAACCCTGATTTTTTTTGTGATGGACAGAAATGAGAGAAAAGATTTTGACTTTGCTTCGCCCTTAGTTGAGTTTACTCAGGGATTTGGTAAGGTTGATGGGCAGAGGAAGACCTTTTTTGTGAGTTGAAAGGCATAGCCAACTATAAAAAAGGATGTGTTTCACTCTCATTTTGCACAGGTTCAAAATTTTCTATTGCGTTATGTGCATAGCTTGTGTTATGTATGTTTGGAAGAAATAAAATAGTTTTTAGCGCTGATTTCTTGGCTCGAGCAGATTCGACGCGTTTCTCTCAGTGTAGATCGTCCAAAATGACTCATAAAATGGCACAATAATGCATTCCACCATTAAATGACGAGTTTGGGTAAAAACTCCACTCGTCTTTGCAAGCCTCATCAGCACAAAAGCGAATTAAGAGTTGAGATTTTACACCTCTGAAGATGATTTAATAAAATTTCACTCTTTATTCACGGATCAGTGTGCAATAAAGAAGGGGATAAAGAATTGAGTGGCAGAAAATATGCATTGATTGCTACTGTTTGGCAGTCTTTCGGCAAAACTCCCCATATCAATGGCATGAAAATTAATCGCGAACAATGAATAAATTTGTGGTAAAATCTGCAATGCAGAAAAATTTATGAATTGTCATCCAACAGGTATAATAAATTGTGGAAAAAATGCAACCCCAAGACCAAATACAGCGTGCATAAACGGCTCAAAGGAGCTGTTGCACAACAATGAATGAATAATTGCGAATTGCCAGTAAAAGGATACCGAAGAAGGATCGCACAATAGAAGAGGTAAACCTGGAGGCTGCGCTCCCTGCCAGCGCGAATAGCAGCCCTGAATACAAGATTTATTATTAGAATGACATAGATTTGCATTCATCAGGAGGCAACGTCGTTTATTTGCTTGCCAAAACCATTTTGATGAATCACCGTGTCTCAATGGAGCAAAAAATTGTATCAGCCAAATTTGCACGACTCTCACTTTTCCCATTGTGTGCAATTCCCAATGCGTCGCGTCGCATCTTTTCCGAATTATAATTTTGCAGTGATTAATTGACGAATTATGCGATAGCAATTTTTGCTGAAAATCAAATGATATGCAGATTTTTTGGGGAAAAAGACTCGGAAAGCCATCGTCATTCGAGCTGTTGGCAACTGATGGCGATCGGGAAGGGGTTGAAAATGCGTTGCGGCGAGAGATAATAAATCTTCTGCAGTGTTAATTTTATTTGGGGTCTTTCTCCATCGTCCAAAATGCAGCACCATTCAATTTGCACGCGAAATAAATCATAATCATATCCTAGACGATTTTGAGGGTGAGTTCGAGAATCAGAAATTTTCTGGACGCAAGAAATAAAATATTTCAGTACGATTCTGTCAAAGGATTTCTGGGAAAGTGAAAAAAATGAGAAGCAAAATACAAATAAGCGTCACTTGTTGATTACTTGAAAGGGTTTTTGTGTGTATTTTTCTGTGACTTTGTAAAAAAAAACACATAAGTTCAGAAAGAAGCGAAATGAAACTGTTTGTCAGTCTCATCAGCTCAATCCTCTCTCGATCTTCTCGAAGATTGTTTATGTTTTTTTGTCGAAGAGCCGAATTAATGACAAAATGCTATCGATCGCAAGCCATTCGCCGGCAGCCTTTGAAGCCGTCCAGATCTTTTATTATCTGACTACTACAGTTATCGCTATTTGTCAAATGGATTAGTCACTGTCTTCGCGCGGCTCGACTAATCTTCTTGGAAGTGTGCCCAAAAAATTATATATCAATCTGGGAAAAAGTAATTTAAATGTGGCCATAAAATCTCACAATTTTCTCGAATCAAATGTATCTTAAATTAGTGAGCAACGAGACTCTGAAGCGCAGTGAAGAGAGTGAATTTTGTGTATGGGAAAGAGGAGTAATTATGGTGTTGCAGAGTAATTTACATATTTTCACACTTACTCATCACTTTGGGCTGGAAGTTGTATTGTTCATACGGTGAGATACCCCTTTCGGTGCTCATGTGGAGTCGTAAGTCATTTACGGGCCATCAAATAAATTCTTGGCCACCGTTTATCATTGGAGAAAAACCCATATAAGGCATCCATTAACGCATGTAAATAAATAAATTCAAATTAAGTGAACATGCATGTAGAGTGACTAACGAATAATCGAAGAGGTCGTAAATATGGGAGCATCCCTCCTTGCACAACCCAGAGAAGAACACCCCTTTTGACAGAGCGCTTCTTGCAGACTCCTCGACCATGGAGTCTATTATACACCGTTTTGTTGCCACCACACAATAGATAACTCTTTGATTTCCATATAAATTCACACTTTTCGTTTAATTGCGGTTGCGGAACAATGAATTATTGAAATGTTTTGGGGTGAAATGTGAATTCGCCACGTTAATTGCTGCGTATGAGCTGGAAAACCGGGAGTGAGGAGATGAAAATCGTGTCATGTACAAGACATATATCATCTCCGTTAAACCTAACCCCAGCCTGAGGCACGGCAATAAAATTAAAATGCAATTAGCGATTTTAAAACGTATAATTTTGCACTTTACATCACCGAATTGTTTGTTTCTACACACATGTTGCTCAAGAGTTGGGGTTCATTTAATTCAATTGAGGGCTTGAAAAGTGCGTGTTTAGATACACTTTGATACAAATCTTAAGAGCCATTAGTTTAGAGGGTTTTTATATGTATATGAGGACTGATTTTCTTATTTCGATAAAGTGCTTATCAAAGAATGAGAAGATCAAGAAGTTTGATTTCGATTTGTATTGTGGATCTTTGAAAAAACTTTCCCATTTCTTTCACGCCCATTTGTTGCATGATTTATGATTTAATCTCTGTGTCCAACAAAAGAGTGGAATAATTAGCATAAATCTAATTTTCCTATGACTGTTCTCTTTCTCCTTGTCTCCCAATCCACTTTTATCGGAATTTCGTTAACTTTGTTTCAGCCAGACTTTCTATTTGGATATAAAACTCCGAAATTCAGTAATGAAATGAAAATTACCCCTGGAGTCATCTGTCTGTGTATCTAAAGTTATGCTTCTGTGATACAAAAATATTTAGTGTATCATTTTCTGGCTATGAATTTACATTAAAACTGCCCGCGGCGACACCAAACATTGCGCATCCCGATCGCATATCCTGGCTGATGAGCTTCCCTCCCTCGCGATGGAAACATATGGGATTGTGTGCCTTTCGTGGAAGTTCAAATAAAACACATCGCATTGATATGAGATTCATTTGAGTTTTCCACTCACAAAAGGCTGCTCACGTCAGTTTCTCACAGTCTGAGCACTCTTCTTTGCCTCAAACGCCCGCCACAGAGCCAAGAGTGGCACTCGGAGGGCTGAAATTTGTTGTTTTCATATGCTAATTTGCCCTCCTCCGACAGCCAACATGAATGCGACTCCAATCCAAATATGAGAGATGTTCCCTGCTTGATTGAATTGCCGTGCCATCGAAAAGCCTTCCGCCGAATTGAGGATGCTTTTCGCGTCCTCGGGAGTGGGTGTCATCCCATGAAAGTGACATGTGCCATCCGCCCATTCCGCCACCCAATAACCATGTATAGAAAGCATATTTATGGATGAAATGGTGCTCAATGGCAAAATTGACGAATGCGTTTCAACTCCTTTCACAGCCAATCTCGTTGATGATGATGGCAATTGTTTCCAAAAAGTAAACAATTACCGGGGAGGAAATCTGCGAGATAAAATGTAATTTAAGATTTGTGGAGGGTGTACGGAAAAGGGGTGACGCAGCCACTTCATTTGCATATTTACTCTCAAAGTTCCTGATTGAATTTCATGTTTGCCTTGTCTCTAATTCATGTCATTGCTCAAATAATCACATTTGAATAATGACCCATCAATTGGGTTAGCATTTTTCCACCCTTCGAGAGATTCGAGACACTTTGCAGAAGAGTAAAGCGGTTAAATATTTAGACACATAAATGGACAGATGATTCACGTTAATTGATACGAATAAGTAAATTTTAACATTACTTGAGGGTTGAAAATAGATTTACCAGCAAAAAATGCACATTCTGGGTGTTTGGATTTCATTGACTGGAAATTGAATGAAGCAAATGAACAACAATCATCGCAGGCTTTGCTCAATACTTCAGTCAGAGGAAAACAGGAAGTATCCTGTGATGTGGCGACTGACAATGTTTCACTAATTACCGCCTCAGTGCTTATTAATAGAGGCGAATGAGGGAGTGAACTGGAAGAGGGTGGTTTCTGGAGACAAGGCAGCGGTTACTCACTGGACAATGTCAAGAGCCACAGTGTCTGCTCTTGATTGCTCATTGGGCTTAATTAAATGAGATTGAGGGCATAAAGAGATGCTCCTCGTCGGTGTCATCATCGTCATCGCGGCCTCTTCACCATGAATAGACCACTGATTGTGCCTTTGACTCCTGGGAGGCATCATAGCTCAGGACAGGCGAAATAGTTTCCCTCAGATGGATAATTGGATAATTACGGCGATGGACAGGAGTGGGAATTGGCGCAAGATCTGACACAATTGCAACAGATCGTCGATATGAGTGTAAACAAATTGTGTAGATGCCAATTGCTAAATGTGCGGTCAATAAACATAATTTATGCTGTACTTCAGCAGACTTTTGAGTCGTTTTCGCTTCGCTGACTCCCCAATTGTTCTGGCCAGAGTGATGAGGTTGACAGTGACGTGTGACCAACTTGTGGAATTATTAGCATTTTAGCTTGGCACACTTTCCAGCTTTACCACAATTCTGCTCTCCCATTGAAATTTTGTCGCTCGATTGTCTGCAAATTGCCTCAATTTTGTACTCGATGCCTCTCCAAGTGTTTGCTCTGGCCGACAAGGAAGGCATCTTCTTCACGCTTCTTGAGCACACAGAATTTCGGGGCGATGTGGTCTGAATGTCATGGGAACTTGTCATATCAATTCATACAGATAACGCACCCATAAACCCACCATTTGGTCACAATTGCCTTCTCACAGTAAATCAAACAGCCTTCCACCAATTAGAGTGGCTCGAAAAATTAATCACACTGAAATATTTGGATTTGTTGAAATTTCAAGAATGTCAATCATGCTTCCCCATCATAAATCACGTGCAAAGCGGAACGCATTTCCATGGTTCTCGCCAGTGGAATCGATAATTTTAATCCTGGGTATTAAGAGCAATGAAATTAGCAAATGTAACAAGAGGAGTGGATTCATAATGGTAATTGCAGAAGATGAGAAATGTAGTCAAAGTTGGCAAAGATACAATTGAATTTAATTTTGATACTCTCAGCCACTTCGGGGTGGATAGACCGCACAGTTGAAATTTAATCTTCTTTTACCTTTGGGAAATACAAGGCCAACACAGACTGAAAAGTCACTTTCATGATCATTCCTTTATCATCAGACACTCTGGCAACTTCTCCGAGAGGAAAGTATTCACAGTTTTACATGGGAAACTGACACTCTCGCTGTCTGGAGTTGAAGGCGGACAATTTCTGCAGAATTGGGCGTAAAAAACTGAATTTCATCAGAATCCATGAAGTTATGTCCAAAGTTCAAACTAATCATTTGCATTGAAATCATTCAAAACTCGATGCTTGAAATTTGTAACTTTCAACCCCTTGCAAACAATCCACTAATATCTTCGGGTAAATATGAGTTTGGCAAAGTTGTATAAAACTACGGTGCAAAGTCAGTGAAAGAGAAATCCTTTTCCCTCCAAAGTGCCAAAGCGATAAAGACTTTCCGTCTTGCAAGTGAGCCGTGAGGAGAGATTTCTATCTTCAGTTGTAGACTAATTAGAAAATGTGTGCTCAAACGAGAGGAAAAAAATCAACAGATTAGTGAAGGTAAATCCTCTTTCTCTGGATCTCTTTCCTTGAAAGAAAATTGGGTTTAAATATCACGTTAATTTAAGGTTATTATTTTCCTACTCCCAGAAAGGGTAATTTCTTGGCCTTCACATCAAACAATTGGCGCTTGTTGGATTTTCCGCTTAATTGTTGAGGCCGCAGGAAGGGTTGACATCTCAACTGGAACGCGAAAGAATTTTTAACTGAGGGATTTGGGGTGCACATGGTGTGGAGGGCTGCTGGACTCTCCAATGTCGCATGCAAATGAAATTAAATATAGAAAACAATCGAATGCTCAAAAAATAGCCTCCATCGAATGGACCGTGTCCTGCGAAACAAAGCCCCGGTCTGGGACTCGACATGCGTGTGTCAACGATTTAATTAAAAAAGTGGACAAAAGGGTGTGAACAAATGAACTTTTCAGGAATTTTTATGGTCAGAATTTCCAAATGAATCCTCCTCAATACGCTTCCTCTGGCACAATGAGCGTCGGCTATATAAAATGAGGTGCTTTCCACATTTTCTGCAATTCACTTCGTCCCGCTATTTCATGTGTACGATAGATTTAATGGAATTCGCAGTCTTGGCAAAATGCTAAAAAAGTGAGGGTGAATTTGCAGATGTGAATGAACTCTAGTGAAATTCTCATTAAAGTGAAAGAATACATCTTTTATATGGCTTTAATATGACTTCAATTCTACTCAGTGATATATACTTCACCGTGCAGAACTCGTCAAATATTTTATTGCTGCTTCCGCTGAAAAAATAATTTCGTTGTGATCTCTGGCGAGCATAAATTTCCCCCCGGGATTTTCACCGTCATCGTCCCATGAAAATCAAGGTGCAAATTCGTTATTTTCGACTCTTATTAATACAAAGTCAACCCTCGTAGTCGGATGGCTTCTGATAAAATTTTATAGATGCATGATTACGCGGAACATGGGAACTCTTTACACTTGACTTCATGTAGAGAAAAGAAGACAATTTATTTGGGGAATAGAGATGGTCAGGTCCTTTACAGTGTTCATGGATTTTCTCACAACAATATAAACATTTTATCATTTTATTTGTGAAATTGAATTGTCTACCACAACATAAACATTTCTCTGTGCGTTTTAAAGTCAAATATTGTTGTTGAGTGTTGCAACCCCTTTCATTTCCCCCCTAAATAGGAACACAATGTAATAAATTGTAAAATAGAGTATGCATATCACCAATTAATCACTGGAAATTAAATTTCTCACTCTGAGACCACCGTTCACGGGTCGTTTTGTTTGGAAATTGATTTAATAGGAAGCGGAAGTTGGTCAACATAAATTTCAATTTTACGAGCCAATTTGCGATGGTATCTTTTTACTGTAACAAGTTCAAGAATATATACAATCCCTCACTCTTGGCAGTGAGAAAGTATCTGAAATTCATTTTAATTGGATCGCACAGAGGGAGAATTGTGGATGAATTTGATGAGGTTATCTTATCGACAAGTCTCACTGAATTGCTCTTTCAATTTTCGTTTTCGGCGGTATAGATTATTTATGAGGATTAACCGCCACCGGTGAGAAACGCTTCTCTCGATGCGGGATGACGCTACATTTTCCACAGGTGTGTGTGCCTTACCTGTACCCTCGCTATTCCGTATCTGTCTCAGACACAATGGGGAAGCGTCTCATGCAAAAGTTCACAAGTGCTCTCCAAACCGTGACGATTCACAAGGCGAGAGATTAGGGGTTGAATTGAGAGCAGTCACGATGGTGTAACCCAAAATTTATGCTCGAACCCTCGCACAAAAAATATCTCACCACCAAATATTTACAAGTGAGCACAAAAGTCCTCTCCTGTGCGACATTTGCCTCTGCATAATCTCATTCACTTCGGGAATCTTTTCTTGTTTTTCCTCCTGAGACATCCATTGTGAAGAGTTTTGTCAATTGCACCCCGTGACAAGATTATCCTCAAGTGTACATGAGTGTGCATATTTAATTTTCTAGCAATTTCGCCCTGAAAAATCCACTCGATTGTGGCCATAAAGTTGCACTACTCACCCAGCCAGTATTTCGTGAATACGGTGACAAATTAATTTACTGGAATATTTGCATTCGTCTGAGAAGACACATTTGGCATATTCGCAGAGAGCAAGAGCAGAGGTCAAGACTCGTGGATGAATAACTGAGAATCTTGATTATACAAATGTCTCGTGAGACTCCTTTTTTCGGTAGCACCCTTTGATACTCCATGAATGCGGGTTTTTTATCCGCCTATTACATTGTGTGTAGATGCTCCCGTATTATTGAGACGCGAATTTCTTATTGTTCGATTATGTAAGATGTCATGTTGAGAGGCAAAGCCGTTGTCGAATCCGTCTTATCTTGATAATTGTTTGATTTAATAAGACCTGAGTCTCAGGGTCAAAAAATTGTGTTTCATTTTATTTTAAATTGTTTGAAAGACATTTTTTAAGCAGTATTCTTATGCAAAATTAACCGTTCATTTGAACTGTATAAAACAGTAGAGTATCTCAAGCAACTGCCCAGATCGAATACCACAACGCATTGTTTCCTAAATGATACATTGTACAATCTCCCGTATTCTTGGATCCTGCATCCTCAATGCTATGAGGAACATATTGTTGCGATCAATTGGATGACAAAAAATATTCACACCGCTTCACAAAGGAGTATCTCAAGTGCGAGCCGACAAAATGATACAAGCATTAAACATTTGAGAGATGATGCCAGAACAATTCTTTAAAGTGCTCATCAGGCACTTTGATGGCGATGAATAGACATACTTGAGGCTGGAATTTTGGCTGGGCGAGATGGAAAGGATTCG